AACGCAAATCCAAATCAGCAGTCTTATTAAGAATCGTTTATAGATCTGTGAACTGAATTTCGTTTCGCTTTAAGTCGCACACTTTAAAAAATACAGCAGTTTAAACAAAACTGTCAAAATAAATTTTTTCAAATTGAAAATAACGCCAATCTAAATCAGCAGTCTTATTAAGAATCGTTTATAGATGTGTGAACTGAATTTCGTTTCGCTTTAAGTCGCACACTTTAAAAAATACAGCATTTTAAACAAAACTGTCGAAAATGAATTTTTTCAAATTTCAAGATTTTTAAATTCTGCTTTCTACATCGATGTAACATTCGAAGGCGAATGTCCCGAACCACAAGAAACGATTCTAAACACGACTGAGCATGTATATTTGACATATCTTAAAGCTTGTCACTTTTTAAATTTTTCGCTTGCACATCGAAATCGATCTATCTTCGCTTAAAGACTTTGAACGCACTTGAAAATGTGTTTTTAATATATATTAATGTGAATCTGACAGCTGACTATAAGGAATTAATTTTTTTAATACCGAAAATGATAGTACGTCGATCGCTCGCGTCGTCAGTCGAAAAATCAAAAGTTCAAATTTTTCCCCAAATTGAAAATAACGCAAATCCAAATCAGCAGTCTTATTAAGAATCGTTTATAGATGTGTGAACTGAATTCGTTTCGCTTTAAGTCGCACACTTTAAAAAATACAGCAGTTTAAACAAAACTGTCAAAAATAAATTTTTTCAAATTGAAAATAACGCAAATCCAAATCAGCAGTCTTATTAAGAATCGTTTATAGATATGTGAACTGAATTTCGTTTCGCTTTAAGTCGCACACTTTAAAAAATACAGCAGTTTAAACAAAACTGTCAGAAATAAATTTTTTCAAATTGAAAATAACGCAAATCTAAATCAGCAGTCTTATTAAGAATCGTTTATAGATGTGTGAACTGAAATTCGTTTCGCTTTAAATCGCACACTTTATAAAATACAGCAGTTTAAACAAAACTGTCAAAAATGAATTTTTTCAAATTGAAAATAACGCAAATCCAAATCAGCAGTCTTATTAAGAATCGTTTATAGATATGTGAACTGAATTTCGTTTCGCTTTAAGTCGCACACTTTAAAAAATACAGCAGTTTAAACAAAACTGTCAGAAATAAATTTTTTCAAATTGAAAATAACGCAAATCTAAATCAGCAGTCTTATTAAGAATCGTTTATAGATGTGTGAACTGAATTTCGTTTCGCTTTAAGTCGCACACTTTAAAAAATACAGCAGTTTAAACAAAACTGTCAGAAATAAATTTTTTCAAATTGAAAATAACGCAAATCTAAATCAGCAGTCTTATTAAGAATCGTTTATAGATGTGTGAACTGAAATTCGTTTCGCTTTAAATCGCACACTTTATAAAATACAGCAGTTTAAACAAAACTGACAAAAATAAATTTTTTCAAATTGAAAATAACGCAAATCTAAATCAGCAGTCTTATTAAGAATCGTTTATAGATGTGTGAACTGAAATTCGTTTCGCTTTAAATCGCACACTTTATAAAATACAGCAGTTTAAACAAAACTGTCAAAAATGAATTTTTTCAAATTGAAAATAACGCAAATCCAAATCAGCAGTCTTATTAAGAATCGTTTATAGATATGTGAACTGAATTTCGTTTCGCTTTAAGTCGCACACTTTAAAAAATACAGCAGTTTAAACAAAACTGTCAGAAATAAATTTTTTCAAATTGAAAATAACGCAAATCCAAATCAGCAGTCTTATTAAGAATCGTTTATAGATATGTGAACTGAATTTCGTTTCGCTTTAAGTCGCACACTTTAAAAAATACAGCAGTTTAAACAAAACTGTCAGAAATAAATTTTTTCAAATTGAAAATAACGCAAATCTAAATCAGCAGTCTTATTAAGAATCGTTTATAGATGTGTGAACTGAATTTCGTTTCGCTTTAAGTCGCACACTTTAAAAAATACAGCAGTTTAAACAAAACTGTCAGAAATAAATTTTTTCAAATTGAAAATAACGCAAATCTAAATCAGCAGTCTTATTAAGAATCGTTTATAGATGTGTGAACTGAATTTCGTTTCGCTTTAGTCGCACACTTTAAAAAATACAGCAGTTTAAACAAAACTGTCAGAAATGAATTTTTTCAAATTTCAAGATTTTTAAATTCTGCTTTGTACATCGATGTAACATTCGCAGGCGAATGTCCCGAACCACAAGAAACGATTCTAAACACGACTGAGCATGTATATTTGACATATCTTAAAGCTTGTCACTTTTTAAATTTTTCGCTTCAACATCGAAATCGATCTATCTTCGCTTAAAGACTTTGAACGCACTTGAAAATGTGTTTTTAATATATATTAATGTTAATCTGACAGCTGACTATAAGGAATTAATTTTTTTAATACCGAAAATGATAGTACGTCGATCGCTCGCGTCGTCAGTCGAAAAATCAAAAGTTCAAGTTTTTCCCCAAATTGAAAATAACGCAAATCCAAATCAGCAGTCTTATTAAGAATCTATTATAGATGTGTGAAGTGAATTTCGTTTCGCTTGTAGTCGTACACTTTAAAAAATACAGCAGTTTAAACAAAACTGTCAGAGATGAATTTTTTCAAATTTCAAGATTATTAATTTTTGCTATATTTGTTGATACAGATTTCGATTTCTAACGTTCCAAAATAGAAGAATCGATTTTAAATACGACTGAGCATGAGAATTTTAAATTTGTTAAAGTTGGTCACTTTTTAAATTTTTGCTTCAAGAGTGACAACGATCTATCTCCGCTGTAAACTTATTGGCACGTGGAAATATCGTGTTTTTAGTTATGTACATGTGGCATCTGACTTTAAAGAATTAATATTTTAATATGGAAATTATATTAATTAGCGCTACGTGCGCGTCATTTCTCAGTATTATATTAATTTTTAATAATTTAGAACTTTATTAATTTAGAACAAAATATGTTTGTCCTAATATTAGAATTATTTATTTTAATGTTAGTGCTATTATTCCTAATATTAGTTTTATAGTTTTTAATATTAGTATTATTTTTCTCAAGTTAGGTTTATTTTTTCTCAGATTAGATTTGTTTTTCTTAATTATAGTTTTTTATATTAGTTAGTTGAAAAAATAGAAGTCATTACTGTAATTCCCTCCCGAAAAATAAAAAAAAATTTTTAATGCTCCGCATTTAAGTCGACCATTATTTTCCTAACAATGTAACATAAAGAAAAAATTAACTCACATTGCATGAAGTCGATTATCCAAACCTTTCTGATTTTATACATATATCCACTTTTTTATTCCACTGCTGCTCTGCTGTAATCTTATATGGTTTGTCACTGATCACTGCACTGTTTTTTTTATTATTTTATATTTGCAATAATTATTTTTCGCACTTCACTACACACAGATGCACTTCGCAATAAACGGACGATACGGACGAAATAAACGGACGAAAAAATAATATCACTCGCGAATGCATTCGGCACTTTCGAGCAGTTCGTTCGATCACGTTCGATATCGCATTCGCGAATAAAAACACGAACAAAACATCTGTTGAAAAAATATACTTTTTCGATTCCGGTAAAGCGAGCGTCCGAATATTAATCACATTAAACGCATCGAAATGCCCTTAAATTTACTCGTGATGTCTAGAGGTTTAGCGTGACATCCCTCGACGCGCCACGTCGTTTCGCGACACCCATTGAGGTCTATGGCGACATCTCCCGGCGCGCCGCGTTATTCCGTGGCATCGCGAAGGAAGTTAAGTCTTACGGGGAAGTAACACTTGCGCGCCACAGTCGGTTACGCGGATGGTCTCGGTACCACAATTTCTCAAGCAACGGTCTCCAGAATTTGAATTTCCCTGCCCCCTTTCCCCCACTAGCTTGCTCCCGCGAATTCGCGATGTTCCGAGTCCTGGACGCCCGTCGACGCCGGGATACCCTTCGAGACGATACAAAATTCTCGTAAGACTCTCTGGCGAGCGAATAGCGCCGAAATATGCGCGAAAACCGTGGAGGAACGTCCTTCTCCCTTCCCCTCGCCCATCACTTCGCGATCCTCCGAGACTCCCGGGTCTCCGTCGACACCCGAATGCTCTTCGAGCAGATTATTCGGTTTATCACATCGAAACACGACACTCCCGGACTTGCACTCCCGTTTATTCGCGTTAACTCGCGCACGAAATCCGAACGAGCCGCGGAGCATTCGCGACGCACACTCTGCTCCTCCGCCGTTGGACTCGCACTGACTAATGGCGGCGCTGGCTGAAGTTGGTGACGCCGTGACGTCAGAATCGGCCGATTTCATGTATTACTACGCGCGGGAGTTTTCAACGCGTAAATAATAAATAATATATAATTAGCAAATGTACATAATTTTAATTCGCCGAATATCAATTATGTACATAATTTTATTATGAGGGAGTACATAATTTTAATTCTCGATTTTTTATTATGTACATAATTTTAATTTATTAAATTTTTATTGTCTCAACATAATAAAAATTCTTTGTTCTAGACTTTATATTAGTGATATCTAGACTTCGGATTATATGCAAATAGCATATTTGTTACTTTTTGCACGTTCTACGACAGCATTTATAATGTGAAAATGTTATAATAGTTTCAACTAATTAATTTTTATTAATTAAAAAAATTATATATAAAAAAATAATAAGTAATAAATAATTAATAATAAGTAATAAATAATTAATAATGATGATTGTGGAGTATTTCATATTAACAAGTTAATATAATAGATTTAATTCAATAGAATAAAATAAAAAATTTTTGCATTAAAAGTCGTAAATTGTAATAAAATTTTAATTGGCTTTAATACACATGTGATTAATTCTTATTAATTACATAATTACAATATAATCATTGCATAACAATTTTTTTCTACATAATATATACTTTTTATATTATATATAAAAGTTATATATATATATATATATTGTAAGATGTACCTAATATTATTTGTGTAATATAAAAGTATTTTATTTACAATAAATATATTTATCTACTCTTGGTATCTTTGCCAATTGCATCAGTTACAGAAGAAAAACCATTACTTTTAAGTATTTCACATAATTCTCGTTTAATTTTGCCTACTACTGGTGGTCCGTAATATACATACGAAGTATAAAGTTGTACTAACGAAGCACCAGCTCTTATTTTAACATAAGCATCAGCACCAGAAAAGATACCACCTACACCGATAATTGGAATACTACCATGTGTTCGTTGATACATATCAGAAATGATAGCTGTAGAAATATCAGCAAGAGGTGCACCGCTGAGACCTCCACTTTCTACCTTATTCAAATTACTCAAATTTGGTCGCGTGATTGTTGTATTGCACAAAACTAAACCGTCAACTTTAGATCTTTTCTTTAAAATGACATCTGCTATATCTTGTCGCTCAGAATCTGACAAATCTGGTGCAAGCTTTAAAAGTAATGGTTGTTTGCTATTAAGCAATTCTCTTGCTGAGTTTATTCTAGTCAGTAATTCTTCTAAATTTTTCTTATTTTGTAAAGATCTTAAACCTGGAGTATTAGGACTAGATATATTAATCACAAAATAATCCGCTACATCCATGAACTTTTTTATGCCGTCAATGTAATCTTGAACTGGGTCTTTTGTCTCTTTGTTTTTCCCTAAATTTACTCCAAGAATACCATTAAAGTTTTTCTTCTCTTTCAGTTTCTTGAGATGTTCCCATACAGCACCATGACCATCACTGTTAAATCCATATCTATTTACAATTGCGTAATCTTCCGGTAGTCTGAACACTCTGGGTTTTGGATTACCAGGTTGCGGTTCAGGTGTTACAGATCCTGTAAATTATAATATAATTATTTTCTTACACATCTGAAAATATGTTAAATATTTGAAAATTGCATACAATTCTAGGTACAGATTTTACCTATTTCCACAAAACTAAAACCAATTTTGTGCAATCCTTCTACTGCCTCTCCTTGTTTATCAAATCCTGCAGCCATGCCAATTGGATTTTTGAACTTTAAACCCAACATGGTAGTTTGAAGTAAACTGGAATCTTCTGTTTTCTGCTTCGATACAAGACCCCATTTCAGAGATTTCACCGCAAGATTATGGGCAGTTTCTGGATCTAACAATTGAGCTAGAGGTATGATAACTTCGCTATAAAATTTTTCATTGTTTTGATAGAGCGAGATTCCTGCAAATAGAGAAACAGCACTGCTTGTCACAGTAAATAACGATTTAAGTTTTGCCTTGTTGCTTAATCGTTGTGCCATTTCAACATTTGCAAATTTATTCGAACTTGTAAAAATTATCTGTTGATATATGCAAATTTCCGTTTTGAAATGTCTGCCAGAACTCACGTGCTCGTTATCTAACAAATATAGTTGGGTAAAATTAAATTAATAATTTTTATTAGATGTAAAATTTGCAATTAACAAATATACGTACGGTAATATAAAATATCATCATTTTTACAAGAGTTATAACAAATCACTGTCGTAATAAAATAAAAACAAATATGTAAACAATCATATGTATGGACACAAAAGCATGGTTGTATTCAAGTGTGTTCTGATATTTACTGCCAGTACTGAAATACTATAGTTTACGACGTTTACGTTATGTACACTATACATTTTCAGTACTGGCAATAATATCGGAACTCCGTTATCTACATCCATGTTAAACTGTCTAGAATTACACCAATATTTATTTTAATTGTCGATAAAATCAATATTATATACATAATTCAATAAATCCATGATGTCACAAAATATGTCAAGTGTTCTTTTTCATACTTTTTTATTATTTTTCGAGAACCATTTTATTGATTGGTCAAATTTCGCGCTTTGACCAATCGAAGCGAGGCTCTCATAATTGGTCAATCGCGCGCTTCACTCTAGGCGATATATTTCCGAACACAATCTAGAATGTTGCTGCCCTCTGATGTACTTCTTCATTTCTTATCGTTTATGACCACGTTCGCGCGCTCTTCATCGCCGATACGCCAAAAATACAAGCGTGAGAATTAATGTCTTTACGTCTTTAATTATCACACAAATCTGATCGCGTTGCATGTATCGATATCGTGATTGCGCTAGATTGATTTCGTCCGCCGCAAATCTTGCTCAATATTCGTCCTTCCAAACCGCACGACATTAACTTCAATTCGAGTCGCCGAAAGTTGAAAAAAATTACGAGCATGAATATTAATTGGCGTTTTCACATCGTTAATTATCATATAAAATCGAATCGCATCACATGTATATTTGTGATCTGACATCGTAATCACGATCGGAAGCGCGAAATTGATCATCTCGTGGACTGCGAATCTTCGGACGTTTCCCTCCAAAAACACCATGACGTCACAGCTCCGACTCGAACCTCCAAAAGTTTGCGCGCGCAAATTTACAAGGACGGATCGCGAAAATTTCCGGAGTTTTTCGACGTTCTCGATCGTATTCTAATGCGTTTTCAATCGTATCTTCTCATTATCGTAAGGTTCGTAATATTTTTGTGAAAATCGTAAATTGATTATGACAACAATTCTTATATTGTCAATGGTATTTCAATATTATCGTACACATTACTCATCTCCGGTTATAATCCGGACGTCGTGTCGCCGCGCATCGCGAACAAAAAAAAGCGTTAAAAAGTTTGAGAATAATTAATTTTTCTATGTTACAGATCAAAAAAACCTAACAATACGTAGCAATAAAAGGACTCAAAAATTTAAAAGCTGCAAAAGAAATGGTATCCGAATGCCGGAATAGAATTAAATTTTTAGGTATTTATTTTTATTAATTACATTAAATAAAAATTTATTAATAAATGTATATATTAAATATATATTGTATAATAAAATTAAATATATTTGTTTGTGTTTATTATTGCGTACGCATCGTAAAAAATTCAATGCATATATAATAATTATTTTTTTACATGTTAATTATTTTAGGCAGTTTTACATATTAATTTAATTTTATTTTATAAATCAATTTTACTAAAGATATTAACAATTCTGTATAAAGATGAGGTCTAGAAGAGATATATAAAGCGCAGATCGAATAATAATTCAGATATAAACGATGCTTCAATATATTATGTTAAATAGTTCAATTTTATTTTTATATTTTATGAAATGTATGTTTTAATTTTAATTCGCGAATTTCTATTACGTACATAATTTTAATTTGCCGAATTTTAATTATGTATATAATTTTAATTTTAGAATTTTTGTTATGTACCAGATAACACAAGCGCGCGTTTTGCGCGCATTATTGATATTATATTTATATTTTATATTTTACAATTGACTACTTTTTACAACTTTGCCTTTTTTAGAAAGGGATATTAGTGATTCTTGATTTGTGTGGCATAAGCTCAATATATATGGATTATGCAATTAGCAATTTTATTAAAGTTTCTATAATATTGTTTCTCTAAATATCTAACTGATGAAATATTTTCCATATCATGTTTTATGTTTCAATCATTACACGTAAAACAGACAAATATGAAGCAGAAGTTTTTAGGATGCTCATGTAGGTTCCAAGGTCCACCACAATAAAATTACCAGCTTGTAATTTAATGGGAAGTTGATTCCACATCATGATAAACACTATGTTTCTTGCCACTTTTGTAGGAAGATTGTACCAAGCGCATTGATAAACAGACTGCGCGACTTCTTCCATCTGTGTTTTTAAATAATCACCGACAATACTATATACCGTTAATTGTGCCAAAAAAGCACTAAGTACCATAAAACTTTTTGACATCATACTAAAGTCGCTAGTTGCCATTGCAACAATAAATTGAAATCCTGTAAAGATATGTATGTATATATATGTATGTATATACATATACATACATATATTTGTTTAATATAAATTTTTCTAGCATCTCATAATTTTTACGGATGCATGAATGTACAATTTGTGTAAGATTTGTGAGAGCATATTCACCTACTATGCATATAAGCATACTGCTGATAAATAGTTGTACGACTAAAACAAAACTGACTATCTCAGCGAGTTTTCTAGCCATTTTGATCAAATGATCATGTCTCAAAATTAATGCATTGAAACGTTTGTAAACATCCGGGCTGGTAACATCAAAATTAATGAAACTAGTTCTTAAAATCTGCAGTTGGCCGCAAACGTGCAATGTAATATGAAGGAACAGAGAATCGCTACCTTAAAAAATTATGATTAATAATACTTACATATTATTAATGCTATTGAATATTTAGAAATATATCGAAGGATAATTCATATTAAATTTAAAATATATATCTCACGGATTTAAAAATTAATTTAATATTTTTTTTATTCAACTCTCTCCAGATATTTTATTTAACTCAACGTAAAATGCTTACTTCATATTTGAACAAAGTAATACAGTCAAAACAGAAATGCACAATTTAGATAAATGATTACGAGACGATACAGCCCCCCTGATAAATATTTCAAAAAATATCTGAAATAATATCTAAAATAAATTAATATTTTATAATTTATGTCATATATATAATATTATATTATATTACTATCAATGACTTACCATGATTACTGGTGCACATGATCATCAAATAGATATATTCTAATACGAAAATCATCAAATACGTGCTCATCGAGATGTGAAAGTGCGCCAAAGTACATGTCGATGGGATAGCAATATCCCGCCTGATGGCCTAAAATGGTAATATTAACTTTATCCCCTCACTGCTCACTGGTACATGTCCCACGAGAAGATGAGTGAATCGAT